CTGTCGATATCGCAAGTAAGGTGGTTGTGGAAAGGTCTACACGTTACCTAACTGACTTGGAATCCGTACACTCTAATATTCTTAAAAGCTTCCACTTATATCCTGGTAACAAGGACCACTGCGTGACTGCTCTAGTAACTTATTAGCTAATTTTCCACGCGGATCCCATTTAGGGATGAGTGTACGCAGGGCAGTGATTGGTTACCTTATGCACGAATTTGTGGACGCTTGACGGAGTGGTTTTTGGAGGGCACTCTCCATCAAACTACAATTTAGGCTTCCAGATCGCTGTAGTACGCAACAACCTTGATATTTTAAACTTAGGCTCGCAAAAGAAAAAACCACTGTGAAGGAAATACTGAAATGATTGCACTTCGCCATTCTCCAAACAGCAATGGTCCAGAATAATGGTAAGTCGTGCCGAATGGGTTCCTCATGAACAGTATTTTATCAGGACTCCAGACAGAACAAAGAGTTGGCACCCCGCCTGCAGAGGAAGCTCCTTTATCCGCCCCAGAGCCAGAAACACTTTGCATGTCGGAGTTCATGCCCAGCGCTCGCTATAAGCCCATCTGCTCAGGTGCAGTCAACAGTTCCTCAAAGGTGTTCCGCATAGCCAATTCATCAGCCTGCAGTTTTCTACAATGACACTCGATTTCGATCGAACCATGACTCACTGTCGCTTAGCTATCAACTGCCTTATTCAAAGCAGTCACCTTTGTCTGAAATATTCTGCAGAAATCCGGGAGCCTAAAGTTGAGATTAATGAGTACCAACAATGTAATTTCCATTTCCAAAATACTCCTCTAAGCTTTAGCGATTGTATGCAAGTAAATTCTACTGCCTCAGGTTAAGAAAGACTCAATAGTTCCAGAGAAATCCTATTTCTTATATACAAGTCCATCAGTTTCTAGAGGGTCCTTTAATCGAAGGAAGAGAGACTTATTCGTTTGAAATCCTTCGGCGACACGTGGGAGCTTCTTTCTTGTCTTGGAAATATACGTTGCCCTCACAGTTACTTGGGTTTTAACTGTATACATATTGACTGTCTATGACAACTCCAGCGCATGAATCGAGAATATTCATGGCAGCTTTCAATGGTTTCTCCGGATTTCCTCCGTAAGTCACATTTACGTCCAGCTTTAAAATGAGCAAAAAATTGTGTAAATTGAAAACATTATTTTCTACTTACCTTGCCGTCAGAACGAGCGGAAACGTTTCACTTATCGGTGGTACACGTTCTCTCTTAAAAGTAAATCGTGGAAATTTCTTCATATCATTAACGAACCAAGGATAATCGTTTGTCATTAGTTCATTAATGTTCTTGAGTTTTTTGAGTTCCGTGAATGTATTGCTAGCTGAAAAGCTATATTCAGTTGGTTTTGGTAGATCACCAACAAATCGGAGGCCTAAATGTATAGTAGAAAATTTAATAATAACCAACGAATAGATTTTTTTTTTTAAGATCACTAACCTGTTACATGACAATCCTCATTCTGATGCTCCAAAAAGTAAAACTCTCTCGATTTGGGTATTTGATAATTCTTAAATTGCGATATCTGATCGACGATGTATTGAAAGAGATCGGTAATATTTTTCATGTAATCGAAATATATTTCGAGAGTATCGCTGGAAGAAAGAAAGGAAAATAAATAATGGTTTTACCATTGGAAGCGATAATGGTAATGATAGTGGTAATGGTATTGGTATTGGTAATGGTGAAGGTTATAGTAATGGTAAGGGGAATGATAGTGGTAATGGTTGCGGCTGTGGTAATGGTTATGTTTATGTTTATGTTTATGGTTAATTTTATGGTTATGGATATGGTTGTAGTTATGGATATGGTTATGGTTAAATTTATTTTTATGGTTATGGTTATAGTTAAGGTTATGATTATAATTATGGTTATGGTTATTGTTATGGTTATGGTTATGGTTATGGTTAAGGTTCGTGTTATGGTTACGGTTCCTGTTATGGTTATGCTTATGGTCTTGGTTATGGTTATGGTTACGGTAATTAAAATTATAGTAGCAATGGTTATAGTTATGATAATGGTACTGGCGATAGTAATGCTAAGGGTATGCAAATACCGATTTCCCGACAGCAAAACCAGTTTTGTGACTCTCTGGAGGACTTTCCGTTTCAAGAGTTTTTAAAGCTTTTTATTCATAAGAAGGAAAATTTTCCTTTCAAAACATCTCATAGTTTAAAAGAGGTCTGCATTTGGCTCACCTTGACGTTAAGTTTCAAGTTGCTTGTCATAATTAAAATCAAGCAGTTTTTATGCATATGTTAATTTTTTATATTTTTTATAGCTTGAGAGTGCACACACGTACATACACCCATACGCCTTTTGCATAGCTGCAATTTTCCAGTTGATAAAACATTTTCATTTGCATAATAGTAATAATAATAAACGTACACATACTACTCATACAATAATATATAATGACAATAATGCAATGAAGGCAATGATGCAGTGAAAGGGAGTCGTAAGCATGCCTAACGATGCGCGAGCCATGCTATGCACTCCCGCATGTGACCATATAAATATGAATGTGTCCGTTGTGCACATGTATCTATGTATCTATGTATGTATGTGTGCACACCCATGACAGCACTAATCATATATGCAAAGTACATATCACTAGTATTATCGACGATACTGCATATCCTCTTAACTGTACTTGGCTGTCTATCACATTTGAGTGAAGCGTTCACATTTCGTTCCTCAACTGTCACAGTTAGAAGGATGTAAGAAGGAGTTATGTATAGAAGCAGATAAGTGAAGAAGGAGCTATGACAATATCAGTGTATTGGTACGCTGCTTAGCAAGCGAAAGAGTTGCAGCATCTAGTGCGTGCAGTTTGCTGAATGAAGTTTCAAGTGGTACTGAAGTTTGTAGTCTGTGTTGAGCTATGGATCGCCGACGAATCAGTTGAGCGCTTCGTGTGGAAAAATCTTTAAGGCATTTAGCGCTCAAGTATTTGCATTAGTGGCTTCGTTGCCAGTTATCTACTCATTTGCACGCAATTTTGTGGTGGAAAAAATCGATGACGCGTTTGCTCTGTTGCAGGTGAATGGCAGCTAAATAATGCAATAGAATAATCATGGGCAAGGATGGTGATGACATTATCCTATACAGCTTTTTTCCACCTGAATAGGTATGTGTGAGTCGAGTAGAGCAGAACACATGAGATTATTATACCCGGGTGCAAGGCCTAGTTCGCGAAAAAGAATCGCATCATTCAATAGGTGGACATGTTCAATGAACCAGATCAACATGTCAAAACTTATATCCCACTCGGATTCATGGATAGAAATGTCAACGACTGTTACATACGTCGAAAACAAGAATTCTTCCTCGGATACCGCTGTAAATGGGTCAGCATGACTCCAGTCTGAAAGTGTGGGCTGCTCGACACCTTTTAAATTAACAGCCATGTAAACCGCTGGTAAACACAAACTCACTGGTGAAAGTGCACAGCTGGTGTGTGAGGGCAGTTAAGTCCTGAATTTCCGATAGACCTTACCAGCCTACACTATACGTCGAGAGCAGTCAGGATTGTTCTCCTTGAGGAAAGCTCCAAAACGGCATTCAATTCTGGAAGATGGCTTTAGGCCTTACGCGAGCACGTTCAGGTTCGCTGACGCTATTGGCGACAAACACTCATTGGGTAGCCAAACAGCGAAGATTCCTCAAAGGTATTGAAATGCATGACCAGGCGTCTCGAAGGCTAATGGAAAGAAGTCCCTCCTTCTATAATGGCCCAGGGAAACTGTAGTTCTGTATCTAGAATGCTTACGGGATTTGAGAATAAACTCATGTTTTAGGATAAAAACGGAGCTGGGTCTAGGATATCCTGTTCGTCAACCGAAACCGAAAGGAACCCCGATCACTACACCTGCAAAAGATAGACCGTATGCACTAGAAAACCATAAGGAGCACCGGACAAAAATCTTGCAGTGGACTACTGGAAGTCCATTCCTCCAGGTCTCTTGATGATGTATATATAATGATACCCTTTAATTGCATTCTGGTCCCGCAGATCTAGACCCGGACGAGTAGCACTTGCGTGATGTGGCGACGAAAGATCGGCGATGATCTACAAGGAGCGATCTCTTAGCTGGGGGCTCCGTCCCGGTGCTGAGCTTGTAGGTGTAAAGAGGGATGAGATTCCCAGTATACCTTTGGATAACGTCAGGATAACGTCAGGATCCCGCAGGAATAGAGCAGATCCCTCTCTCCAATTGGAGAGTGGTGATAATGAGAAAAGCAAGAGAGCATACGCAGTACGTCACGCCTATGATAAACAAGGACTCGCTGCCGCATCTACATGATTGTGGCGGAATACTTAGCTACGGATTTTATTCTCTCAACCTTAAGACCCATAAAGAAAATGAGGAGGGATTGGCTCGGTAGACACCGCCAATGAAACCGTTGAATACTCTTTAAGGAAAGACTAAGGAGACGCCCGAGCGGGCCTATGCTTTCTCTTCCAGCGGAAGCGTCGGAAGATAGTGGGCCAAAAAGGGTTAATGCTGACTCTATGTTTCAAGAAGAGTGGTAAATAGCGCTAACTAAATACTCTGTAAATTTTTTATTAGAAGCCAGTGCTATATCAATTAAGCAAGGAGTACTTTAGGCATAAGATCATATTGGAGCTCAATAAATCAATAGCAGCAACCTCACAAAGCACATGGTTTGTTCTGGCTTCACCAAATTAAAAAACGAAATAAACTGATAAATATTGTCAAATTCGGTAATAATTCGGTAATCAATCTCCGATTGAAGTTCAGACTGATATTGGTCGCAAAGCTCGAGTAAAATTACACGAGACATTCATTCGTTCCAAAAAAAAAGATCTCTACTGGAGCTTTGTGTATTTCGTTAAAATTTTGATTGATAAAATTTATAGCGTTTTACTTCCAGAATTCAATGCAAGGTATTGTATCCAAGAAAACAACGAGTTCACATATTTGGAGACTACTTCTTTAGCTTACCGCACTTTGCCCATTGCCGCATCGTAACGTTCCAAATCCATTGTGAGTTCACACGCATCTTCGGTAGTCGACATAGTGAAATCATTACCACAATTAACTTTTACTACTGTCTGCACGATAATCTCCTGCTCGATCGTCTGATCCAAATCAACAGAAGTGTGCAGCTCAATGCCATCCGTGTGAAATGAACTACTTTTGGTACGAATAGTTGAAATGTGTGCTGGCAGATGCTTCTGTGTATTGCCACTGGCACTGTCACCCATTATGGTGGTAAAGTTTGGTATCTCCGTGTATTCGTCCACATGTTGACCATCGATTACGGGTATGATTTTATATATATAGGCACGTATACCGTCAATGGCTGTTATGCTAATGACAATATCATTTACTGGTACTTCATATAGCTCGAAATTTACTTCAGCATATTTTTTATGTAGCATATTAAAGCTGGCCATGCGATATGTTACATACGAGGGATCTTCAACTCTGCCGCCTTCTTCGCCTTCACCACCATTGACCAAATATTGTGACAACGTTGGAAAGATACGTGGAGATGCGATGGTTGGTTTCGTATCCGCTTTGCCAGTGAATGAAGTACCCTTGGAGTGGCGACCATCGATCAGTATATGACTGGTCTAGGCGGGCGTGTAAATTCAGAAATATAGGCTTAACTAATTAGATTGTAAAATTTACCAATAAGTCATCAAAGTCTCCATCAGCATATTCTTCTTCTAAGTGTGAAGAACTCAACGTCAGTGTGGTATCTAAACGGTGTAAAACGAGCATTGACACCATTTATGGCGCTGAAGAAAAGTTAATTTGCTTACCTGCATCAAAGCTGAATAACTCGATTTTCTCATCCAGCGTTGTTATCAAGAGTGTGCCATCTTCGTGATAACACTTTAATGAGTCTACTGTCCAGATCATGCGAACACCATCGGCGCGTTGGGCGTAGCTCTCGTTGGCAAAGTAATCATGCCATTCCAGCGTGGGCTGGGAGTGTCCTCTATAGACCTGAAATTGGAGAATGTGTATAGTTTTGTAAAACATTGTAAAAAGTTCTTAAATCAGAAGGAAACAATGTGTGATTTTTTATTGAAGCGAAACCTCGGAGTAAGGTTAAAAAATAAAATATGGAAGCGAAGTCGGGTACACTGATACGTGAGGAAAAGCAAGCATTCCACATATAAACTCAGGCATTAGATCTTGCAGTCAGGAACATCCGATTGTATTTTAACGGAATCTCCAGAATACCTGCCTGTCTCCGAGAATACCAGGGCATAGGGCTCTGTGGTGGACGCCCGTTATTTTGCCCAATTTATCCCATTCGGTCGCTGAAAGATTACTTCGGAAAAAGCGACCAAAGAACCAGATCAACGCGAAGTCCCAGTTTCATGAAAGCATAAATTCAAAACTTCTTAGCCGTTGAATTGGAACCGAAAGAGACTGCACGGCTCATATATACTAGAAAACCACTCGCCTTGCGCCAACAACAGCAAACCCAAGCAGAAAACGTTTGCCATCTGACGCCAAGCTAAGACTGTAAGGCCTACAGCCTTATCGAATCAGCTATCAGCATTTAAAGCAGCCGTAAGCAGACCCCTGAGCAAAGCTCTAAAGACAATACTAACACCGAAGCCCTGTACTGGCAAAACGGTATCCGACGGGTATCAAATCGCGCGGCAGCAGAATTATCTGACGTCCCGGTGGTACGATCCCATGTCGTATTATTTGAAGAAAGTGGCTGTGAGGTCGAGAGACATTATTTTTGAAAGCTCCTAATTGAACTCGGGAGTTGGCTGCCTAGAAAATGTATGAAAACTGCTTAATATTCTATGATGTGGGCCTCCAAAATGCAGCGGACGCCAAATAAAGCCGACGGTGCAGCTAAAATCCAAACACTTTGCATTCTTCTAGACTTTTTAACCCTCTACGGGATCTGAGAGATTTTAGCGATGCTGCCTGAGAGCATTAGGTGCTGGCAGCCATGAACAGGGGCACCCGTAAAGAAACCGCAGGCTCGTCCAAGTGGTCTCTTCCGTGGGTAAGCAAAGAGTATTCGGAAAAGTTCTAGACCTGACTCTGTTGTACGCGACGCTGGCTTATACCAGGCCCGAATTACATAAACTGGCTTCTGGTGCCGATGAGAGATAGGCCAGCTTATACAAGGAAATCATCTTCGCTCTGGGAAAAATTAATGACATAGAGGCAGTGCATAAGAATGAGATCTCTGGCAAATCGCAAGCCAGACCTTAGGTCTCGGAAGAATCTTAAATACCGTAAGATATGCTGAAACTGACGAATGACTGACGCTGAATGACGATAGAAAGCCTGATCCGGGTAGCACTGTGATTAGACCTGGTGCCAAGAATATGCCGCCTAAAAACGGCACCATTTCTATGGAAAAAGCCGGATCCGAGAACAATCTCATTTGGCTGAATGAAAAGGGATCGCTCGAAGCGCCCCCGGCGCCTGAAATGTAAGGAGGAGACTCTCCGAAACTGTAAATAATGAAAGTTCTGCAGATAAAATCTCATCACTCAAAAGCATCCACTGCAACTCTGGTAGTTCACCTCAGCGAAAGGGGGGCTTATTTTTAACCAAGGACCCTGTGTTGTTAAAAACAAGGTTTGCGGACTGAATTCTGAGATAGCACAGTCCCAGCGGCAAATAAGATTTGAGCATATATGTACATATAGGGGGCATCTGTGTGCAGAACCAATCCACGAAACTCCGTTAGGTCTGGACCTAGTTCCAAATTGATTCAAGAGTACATTCCAAGATCTCAGGTAATAGAGTCCAGAACAAAAAAAAAAATTGAATCTCCGTTAAGAAATCCAAGCCGGCCTGGGTTTTCGGAAATAGGTACAGGGAAGGCAAAGAGGTGCCACGACTGATGGGTCTCCGTAGCCAGAACGACGCAGATTTATAACTGACCAAGGAAGGTGATGCTGGAGTGACTTCCCAAAAACTCAGGGAAATTTGTTTTCTGTTGCAACGAAGGCAGGAGCCTGTTTGTGGGAACCTGAACCGGTAGCATTTGAATGATTTCTTCGGTTAATCCACTTTCAAATTGAAATGAATTGCCCTAGACTGTGGTTAGACATATGGTCAGATATACGGACTCCCAAGATATCAAGGGAACTCTGGCCCGACTATGACGCATACCTCGTATCTGCCTTAATAGATCAAGGACAGAAGTATTCAGAAACACTGACCCTTACGCAAACATGCGACAAGTTTAGGACCTCGCTGTAATAAAACTTATCGCTGCTGTTATCTAGAAAATCATGAAGAAAGTGCCCAGGATTTGGGGTGTGAATATCGCGATCTGGCGAATATTAGGTATGAAATGCATATGGTAGCGCAAATAGAGAATGTATCAGGGGCTATCATAAGCGAAGTCGGAAAATTCATCAGGGGATGCCCAGATGGTTCGACCAAGCAATACACAAATTAAATCCAGTTCTCACGACAAGTCCAATCAAATGGCGCTAAACGCGCACATATTGTGTCGTAGGCAGCTACTAGGAAGTGTTGCAATTAACAGGTCTAGATGAAGGAGTATCATTCAAAGCTAGCTACTTGTTAAGAAATTTTGTTTTCGGAAAAACTTTCACATAAATCACAAAGCTACTCACCTTTCCGCGATGTGTTAGGTTAATAATAAATCCCATTGAGGTGGTCACAATGAGGTGCAAATACTTCAGGTCATATTTATCGGATAACTCATTGAGAAATCTTAGTTCATTGTTGATAGACTCAATAAGCAATTCCTTTGGATTTCTTTGATTAACGGGCTCTTCCAACTCTACGGTGCGATGGGATGATGGCTGTTCTGGCACCTTTGAGGTTTTATTCTTCTTCGCTGACACTGCGCCGCCGCGCGCACGTACTGATTCTTTGAGAGCGGCTTTTCCACTTTTGCTTTTAACTTTATCCGTTTCTTGCACTGTTTCTTTGGCTCTTTCATACCCTGCTTCTTTCTCCTGTTGTATTCGTCGTGTCGTTTCCTTGTTTGCTGTGCTATCCCTCAACTCTATTTTTATTGAAGAATCCGGTTCTTCGGTCATTTCGTTGATGGCTTCTTCCTCGCCTTCGGCAAGTTCATATTGGTACAAACGGTAAACTTCGCCGTTATAACGCAACACCACAATTAAATCCTCGCTTTCATAGTGGACAATAACCGCACCTTCTGGTACGTACATGCGTCGCTTCTCCCTGTTGACCGCCTCTTCCGTATGCCATTCTTGTTCGACATAAGTCTCATTGTGATAAATAGCCAAACCATTGGGATAATTGATGACAACTTTTGCACATTCGGCTTCTTTATTCAGCACGCGTACAGCAACGTTATTCTTGTTGGTAAAGCGTAAGCAAGGTGAGATGCAGGTGTTCCAAAAGCGTGGCCGGAAGATGTTGAACACATTGCCATTAACTTTGAAAATCAAATTCTTGTTCATATCTGTGAAACACCAACGCTCCTCGTATAATTCCAAGCCGCCTTCCTCAAAGTAATACCTCGAGTTCTTTATCTGTATCTCTTGACGTATATCTTCAAGGTTGTAACCCTTTAACAGCGGGTGGTCGCGTGGCAATCCGGGCTTTTCTGTCTCGTTCGCAGACTCGTTCAGTGTTGTCTTTTCACGTGAATTCAGTTCAGGTATAGGTGTTGGGCCTGCAGCTTGCTCCATTTGTTTGCCCATATAAGCTTCGACTTTTTGACTTTTTAGCGACGTGGGACGTATGAATATTGACATATTTAATCCCTTGATAGTATTCTCCACTTTGCTTCGTTCCACGAAACTTTGCGTGGGCGCGTAAATCTCTTTGTGTCGTGCATTTATCATTTCCGGTGTTACCAAAGCATCAAGAAACTCTTCCATTTGGAAGAGTGTGAAATCGCGAAAGCATAATGGGGATGGCAACAGCACAACCTGCTGCTCCTCGTTCACTTCGTTGTAGGCGCACTTGAAGTGATACAACTTACAGCCGGGCATAATTTCATCCACAACATAACTGCTATATTCCGATAGCCAATTCAGTAAATGATCATTCACTACATTTTCGCCGAAGTAGAGCTTTCCATAACATGGCAGCAGATAAGAGTCCCGCTCAGCGAGTTCATCGAACGCCTGCACTTTGCAGAAGTTCTTTCTGCAAGTGGCATCCATGTATGTGCGCATTGCATTGTACTCCAAACTGGTGTAGTGTATCGTTTCGAAGGAGTCGGTGTTCGTATACAACAGCAACTCGTGCAACAATCGGTTATTCGCGGCAATGCAAAGACGTTCAAAGTGTTTCATCTTCAAAATACTATCGAAAGCTGTGTTGTAGACATCACGCAATTCACCATCTAAATCTATTTGGCTCGTACTTTTATACGGCAGTGTAGTGAGCTGTGCTTGTTGGGGCGTGAGTTTGCGCACGCGTTGCGCTACTTGATTCAGCAGCCCCTCCAAGTAGATGGTGATCGTGGCACCATCGCTGGCCATTGCGGGCAATGGTGCAGTTAAGTATGTGCCTTGCATGGTCAGCGACTCGGCGATTTCTTTTAGTCCTTCTACATTCACGTCCTGTGGCATTGCGACATTGGTTATTTGGAAGGGCTCGATATAGTAACGAAGGTATTGTTGCTGTAACAATTCGATGTCGTACAAGTAGTGGCTGAGTTGATCGTAAATTTGCTGTGTATACTTTTCAGCGAGGCAGCGTGAGATTACGGGTAAATAATGTTGCATGTAACCACAGGGCTTTGTAATGGCGAATGCGCGCATTTCGAAGATGTCTAGCTGTATTTCTTCGAGGGTTTTTGCAAGCAATTCTTTGGTTTCCGGATGCGGTAGCAATATATCATAACCGCATTCTTCGGGCAGAAAGTGAACGATAGCCTGCAGTGGTTGGTTGTTGCTGTGGACGTACGAAAGCATTAATCAAATGTGTGAAACCAATAAATGGAAGAAAAGGTAGGTGGAAATTGCATTTGCGTCGTTTACGCGATGGAAGTCTCAACATGAGCCGAATCGCTCAACAACAGAAATAGAGCGCATTTCGACATAGAAGACAAGATTCCGACATCGGTTGAAAGGTTTATTTCATTAATTAAATACGTATGTATGTACCTAGCTTGAGTGATAATTTTGGTACTTCTTCGTCCTTAGAAGAGACAACTATTTGATAAGCACAAAGTATTGCATTGTTTTCAACTAATTCATTATTAAAGGTCCTGTTAAAAAAATATACGAAAGAAACGTATTGAGTTGCCTCTATATAAGTATGTACATATACTTGAAGGGAATCAATCAATTAGGTTTCGCGTCCTTTTTGAAACCAATGGTGGTTTGCTAGAAAGAACTTGGTAATTTTTACGGTTCTCGACCACTTGCTATGCCTAATCACTTGAGATCATTAAGCTCATGAAGGACATGATTTAATAAGTCACATACAATTGCCTTTTTCGCATGTCTTTTACTGCGTTCGAGTTTTTGATAAGGGGTAACACTATCCGCTAATCATATAGGAGGTAACGTTAAGCTAATTGATCGTCCACATCCTTAAAAACACTTGGACATTATAGAAGTTTTATTTGATGATGTATCGTGATTTTGAACGATCGGGAGCCAAGCACGAAGCTACGGAGACGGCGAATATCAATTTTCGTGCCTTAAGGCTCTTAAATCTTAACCTTGTCAAATCTGCACAACTGATTCCAACACACCATTCTCCCTACAAGCTTTATCGCGTTAACTATGATCGGTCAGTGAGCTGCCAGAACCCCTACTTAACACAAGAGCTGTGAATGTTTTCACACACATCTTAGTTCTCTTCCAGCGTTCGCTGAGCTGACATGAGACGTTTCTGTCCAAGTGGTAATCACAGGTGGTACCATTCTCATTCTACCCGGTAATATCGTTTCAAGGATACCCTTAATTGCCAACTCTGCAGCTACGCAGTTTCCGGGAATGTCACTGGGACCTGGTACCCAATGCTATGTCCAATTTGCCGAGCAGTTATTAAAGACGACGCTTTCCTTATTTTTTGTTAGACTTTTCAGTAAAAATATTTGTTTAATTGTATTTTTGGAATAAACAAAGTTCTTTTTCCTTTTTCAGTAAACCGGTTTTATTACAAATAGTATAAATAAGCAATGGGAAATAAGGAAAAATTTGTTTTATTTCCAACCTTTGTTAGAAATAAAACAAAACTCCGATTTTGATATTATTTCCCATTATTTAAAAGTGAAATAATGCAAATTTTGCGTTATTGCCGTTTGTGTTCACCCCCTCTCCCTAAACGGATACGTTAACAAGCAAAAACTCAGCATTTTGGGTACTAAAGGTTCACATTTCATTCAAGAAAAAACTGTGCACCCACAACGCGCCACTGTTTGGTGTGTTTTTAGGCTGGCGGAGTCATCGGACCGTACTTCTTCGAAAATGATGCCGTTTTCGCTGTTACCGTGAACGGCGAACATTATCGTGACATGAAAACAAACTTTTTATGACCTAAATTAGATGACATATACTTGGACAGTATGTGGTCTCCATAGGACGGTGCGACTTGCCACATGGCGCATGAAGCAATTGCCCTATTGCGAACGACGTTCCCACGACGCATTATCGCACGAAACAAGGAAGACAGATGTCCTCCGAGATCTTGCGATTTGACGCCATTGGACTTTTTTCTCTGGGGCTACGTGAAAAGGATGGGCTATGAAAATAAGCCCGAAACGATTCAAGAGCCAGATGAGTCGCATTTAACGGATACATATTGTTCTTCATACATAAATATCATAGCCATAAAACATGATGAAAAAAATCATCTTGCCAAATTTTGAAAACCTGTGGTCTCATTGAATCACCCTGTACTAAAGTGCTTTAACAAACGGTCCTGATGAAAATTGTCAAAGAAAAGGAGATTAAGTACATGTATTTTCACAACTTTTCAGGAACTCTATTCCTACGGACGAATTAATTGAGATACAGGGAGAGCTATTAGGCAGGCTTATGAAATTTTAGTTAAACCTAAAATGCCTTAAGACAAATCTAGGCTCCGATGTTGCTCCACCCAGAGATATAAAAGAGTGAAAGCAGGATGTAATGTACTTTACTCATCCGCACACCATTACTCTGAACTGGCCCACAATCATAAAAGGTCTGCATGAAGCCATGTCATCCTTTCATGCTAATATTGTTGACTAAAGGGGTTTCATTAAAATTGAAAATTGTATGCTAGATTTTTTTTAACCAATCTCTTTTTTTTATTGAAAAGGGCCTATACTTACCATTGCGAGGAGAATAACACATCGTTCGGTTGTCTGCTACGACTTATCGCAGTAGCACGGATCCGAGTGATCTATCTAATGGGAGCTGTAGCATAGGTTATGTGGACTTTAAGGCTTAAAATGCCATACAAATGCAAGGATATTATATTTTAAGGATGTGAAAACTATCATGCTGTTTAAAACGCTTCCCGAAAATTAGTTTTTGGAACCTCCTCTAAATGGAGCCATTTGTATCAAATCTACTCTGCTTATGGCAAAAATACTATAGGAAAAGGGTTTTTATATTCAATAAAATACGTTTGAAATACGAATTTTATTACTAAATATGTACCTATATACCAGAAATAAAGGATCATCGTAGACACGCATTTTCACAGAACAAACCATTTCCAAATGTGCCACTAGTTAATACATTATAATATACCTAGATACAGTGGTCGAAAAAAATATAGTCCCACCACATTTTGACAAGTTTTAATATATTATTTTTGTTGTTATTTAATTTTGGTTATTTTTTTTTGTAAAAGTATAGTTCATTCTTTAACAAAACTCGCGTAAATCCAAACTTTCAAACTTTGTGGAATATTAAAAAAAAATCAACCAAGTTTCGTAGAAATTTCGAGATTTTTAAATTAGGTTTAAAATGGCTAGAAATTACGGTTGATTTTATAAACTAGTAACCAAAATTAAATAACAGCAAAAATAATATGTTAAAACTTGTAAAAATGTGGTGCGGCCACCGTATGTATATTTACTATGCGAAGTGAAATCTGCACTCCAACTATAAGCGTGTAAGCTAAGAAATTCTGAGATATGCAAATGCGACATTCAGAAGTTTGCTCGCAAAATGCCGACACTTACAGGATATACAAATCGTTTTAAGCTGCCTTAAGTTCACGTTCAAGTTAGCAAGTAAATACCGGCGTAGATACCGATTTCACAAACTAAACTTTGAGCGCGTGTGTTTGTATAATCACATGCGTGAGTATGTGTAAGTAAGTGGCAAGCAAATACCATAAATTCTGGTGTTTCTATTGCAATTTTATGTTGCACATAAGCATGATGCATGTGTTGCAAGCTTTTTGATAAACTCTATACATACATCTTACAGTAACAACAACTTGTCTTCTTTGCCTTTGTACTTACATGCATATATGTATGTATGCAATAGTAGCACTCAAGTTTCCTTACAAGTTTGAGCTAAGTTTACAAAGTGCGCATGAAAGTGTGCGAGTTTATATGAAAAGGATATTTGCATGAGTTAACGAACAGAGGCGGCGTTAAAAAAAATTCCTTTGCAACTATAATTATTTTAAAGAAAATCTTGATACATATTATTAACCTATACTTCAAACAAATTATTATGCTGCAACGGAAAAGATTTTGCTTGGTGTTGGTTGATCCTTTAAACAGCGTGACAGAATGATGTCCATATTTTGGAACGAACTTCCGTCATTGGGTATCAAACAAATTTTTGTTCTTCTTCGATATGTTAAAGGAATAAGGCCAATGGAATGAAGAAAAAAAGGGCCCAGGCGCCCACACTGGAGAAGTGCAACTTACGTTGCATATCTATTTCGTCTCATAACCAATATACATACATATGTATGTACATACATACATACATCTGCTTTTGCTCAAGGTTATATTTTTTGTCTTTTTTCTATCTAGATCCCTACCTCTACTCCTGTTGTTCTAATCACATTTATTTTATTCGGGTTTAATTTATCATCATTTTTATCTTTATACTCTATCAAAAACAAAATCGATAGTAGCATCCAACAAAATATCGATAAATACATCGATGACAAATTCGATAAAAATTTCGATAGCAAAACCGATAAAAAATCGATAAAAATATTGATACAAAATCGATAAAAATATCGTTAACAAAATCGATAACAAAAATCGATTAGAAAATCGATAAAAATATCGATAACAAAATCGATAAGTAATCGATAACAGAATCGATAAATAATCTATAATAAAATCGATAAATAATCGATGAATAATCGCTAAATAATCGATAAAAATCGATAACATACTCGACAAATAATCGATAAATAATCCAAAACAGAATCAAAAAATAATCGTTAAAAAACCGATAAAATATCGATAACAAAATCGAACACAATTTCTATAGGAAAATCCGCAATTATATTGGTAGCAAAATAGATACAGATATCAATAAAAGTGTCAATAATATTGGTAGCAAAATCGATAAAAATATCGACAACAAAATCTATAAGATTGATATCATAATCGATAAATGATCGATAAAAATATCGATAACAAAACCGATAAAAATGTCGACTATTATATCAATAAGTCCCGAGAATCCCGAAAATCTCTAAAATCCCAATATAGTTCCCAGATTGAGTCTCTGTGTCTCTATCTATATCCTTTTCTCTTTACTTACCTTTATATTAATCTTTCTTCCTCTGTCTTCATCTTTACTTTTATCGGTACCCTCATCCTCATCTTTTTCTTTATATTTATCTTTGTTTTTACTTTTATGTTTATCATTTTCTTCATCTACATATTCCCATTCACCTTTGCCCTTATATATGTAAGTACTGTGTTTAAATTTACTTTGGTCTTCATTTTTGCCTTTATCTTTACGCATCTTAAATAGTTTTTATTTTTATTTTTACCTTTGCCTTTATCCTTTTCTTTATCTATGTACGTACTAACCTTTACTTGTATTGGTCTTTTTCTAAGAGTTATTCTTTAACATTTTATTAGCAAGTTTTTGTTAAATTAATAACATACATTCAAGAAGCACTTGTTTCCGTCCCAACCATTTCCGTTGCATAATTTCCGTTGAATTAATCAATTTACTCCCAACCAATCAACCGCCGCTAAAGGAGTTTTACTTCAAAAAAACGTGAGTAATATTAGTAACATTTATGTAATCAGAATCCGATGACAACCTAGAAGGAATATATAAATATGTATGTATGTAGAGATGCTTAATGCAACGCTCCCGCTTCAATTCCCGGAGCGTTGTGATGTGACAAGTTACTTCATTGACCTTGCAACTTGTCTCGATCGCTATACATATATTATGAAAGAAGATGCCAACTTGACAAGCTTTTCCGAAGACAGTACTAGTCCAGAGGGTCTGCGAATTCTTACGGAGGGTTAATGTTTTGGCATTTTGGCCGAAAGTGGAAATAGTTTATCGTACAAACGACTTAAATTATAATTTCTAACTTCAGACGTCTTGAATAAATTTTGTCACTTTAATCTTCTAACTCTTATCCTAAAGGTCTTTTTGATCCTGATTTTGAAGGCGTTCCACGCTATATCATTAAAAGTGGCCAATAGAGGCCCAAAATGTTTACTAGGGGTAAACGTATATGCAATATAGGGGTCTTTATCCATATTCGTCGTACACTACCATTATAAATGTATGTGGACTCAAATTCAGAAATAGCGCATAAATCGATTACTTGTATTCAGAGGTCTATATAAGAAATTAACAGGTAATTATTGTGTAATAATTTTTAAGCCTTTAACCCCTTCCATTATGGGTCATTTTGACGTAAGTTATCTCTAGAATGCTAACCGTATTTCGCAACTAACCATGAGTTAGTCTGATAAAAAAACTAACAAAGGTTCAAAGGGTGGCGATCATGATAATCTCGGGCGCGTTACCCTTAACGCCGACTAGATCCTAGCCACTTTGCTTCATTTTTTACCTGTGGACCTATATGTAAACTACAGGCAAGTGGTAATGGTAACAGACTAATGCGTTGATCAACTGGGGTGTTACGAGGTTCGGACATTCTGGAAGATCCTCCAGCAGACTTCAGGTGACCGGACTGAAAAGTCGTGCCCACTGGACTGAGGAATAATTTCCAAACAAGGATCCCCTCAAAAGGTGAAAGGGAGCAGAATCTGAAGGTAGGGAGTGTGGTTTACTCTCAAAAGCTCTCTCTTAGCCTCAGTTTTCGTCTGTCAGACCTCTGCAACGTTTTTAAAGCTGAACGTTAAGCAATAAATGAAGATACAAGATGGCTGATAGATTCGTCTTTTAATTTGTATGCAGTGGTTATCTTCTCTCACAGTCAGGCGGCTATCAAACCACTTAATTGTGACAAATCCACATCGAATATCGCAATTTAATGTAGACACACCCTAAATGAACTGGCAATGACATATGACACTCATGTTGTAAGGGCGTCAGGCCAAAGAGGCATACGGGGCAACTGTGCAGCACGCGAACCAGCAAGGATAGGAACCTTATTGTCTGCAGTCAGTACCGTTCGAAATGCGGGGATTCCGCAGTCATCGAACGGGAAAATGCCTGAGTTAGATAAACGGAGTTCCCACTCTCTCCTCCGCTTGGAGCGTTCACTGCTCCGATATGTAATTGGAGTTCTACCCGGTCACTGTCTGATGGGAAACCACGCCATAAGATTGGGTATGCATTCAAACGATTACTGTCGTATCTATGAATTTGTGGGCGAGAAGTATTTAAAATACCAATTCGATCGACCCTTAGGGCTCTGACTTTGGTTTGCAATAAATATTGATCTCCCTCAACAATGTCAACTGATGTACTCAGTTAACTGCCTCCGTGGTTGCGGCTATCTCCGCTTGAAATTGATGGACTGGCGCTCAAATTTTTGCAAATTTGTGGTGTGCGTTTTGATATTATAACATAAATTGTGGGATCCAAGATTTTACGCTGCCTCCGAAAGGTAAATGGTTTTGTGAGAAGCTTTTTTATGGCAGAAATACATTTCACCGTAGGGCTGTTAGAAATGCTTTTTTAAAATTTTAGACGCTGCACGGACCAGGAATCGCACCGAGGTCCTACGGAGCAGTAGTACGCATCTCTAACTACTCGGTTTCAGCGGCTACTTGCCTCAACTCTTGTACAAAATGTCGACCCATCCTTCCTGACTAGTAGTTATTTGAATTTTTTAAAAATCGAATATCGATATATAAATCAAGTTAAATTAGAGGTGACAGGTAATAAGATCAACGGAAATAAGGTCAATTGACTTTATTTCCCACCTTGGTGCGAAATAAAGTCAATTGACATTATTACCTTTTTAAAAACGAAATAAAATCAATTGACATTATTTCTCTTTCAAACATTAAATTTGCTTAGCTTCGCGGCGGGCCGCGTCAGCGCGCCACACTGCGCGCGTCGCGCTCGCGCTCGCGCCCCGCGTACCCCGCGCGACCGGCGCGCACACCGCGTCACGCTACGCCGCGGGCCCCCCGGCCCCCCCACCCCGTCTCCCGACGTGCTGTAGCGCAGGTAGATTAATTTTTTGTATACGTTGAAATAAAATTTTTATATATTTTAAACATCGAGGGCTTATATTCAAT